ATATATGTATGTATGTATCTCTCCTGTTCATAACATCTGCTATCTAAAAGATCTTGGAAATTTGGCACCATGTCCTATGTCGAAGAGCTTGAAAAAAATGATAACACACCCTCTGTAATGTCTAAGGCTTGTGTATTGCACTACGCATACGTAGCAGAATGCCTTTGGCTTTGAATGGGGCCATTATATATTATTGGTTCCACATGTTTTGCCCTAAAAGATTATGCTGCTAGAGCATAAACATGTCCATATTTGAGTTTCCCTTGTGCTAGATTCCACCATAGAATTGGAGCCATTACTCACAATATCACGAGGGCTATTGTCAATAGTATAGCTTTGCTTTTGCATCTTGCCACTGAATGATTGTGTACTTCTCTTCTTGATTCTCATTTTGATGCAGACAGAGGTCTACAGGTGGTTGAAGCCCAGTGGCAAGTTGTTCTTGGAATTTTCTAGAGCTATAAAATTCACCCCTATTGTTTTCTGGGGTGTCCTTGGGTATGTCAATCCAATTTACTTTTAGTCACGTCTTGTGCATGGTTAATTTTACTTGGACTCAATTAGTGGTCTGTTGTTGTTTAATGAGAGCATCTGAAGTAGCATGATGAAGCTGGATAAATTCTAAACTAAGATAATAGAGTTCTTCATTGGGGAAGTGAAATGCAGATGATCTTTTATTTCCAAAAAGTGTAGTTCTTGGATAGTTTCCTTTATTGAATGTCACTTCACTTGGAGTTAAGCACATAGTAATCTCTTGCAGGTCTCCCATGCCCTTGAGGCATCCATTGCATGTTGTTGTTGGAAAACCAATTGAAGTCAAGAAAAATCCACAACCTACCGCGGAAGAGGTACTTCCAGAACCTTTGTTTTTTATACATGAAATTAAACTATTTTGTGGCAACTGAAATTATGTCGATGGAAGGGAAATCCAATGAATGGGGTGCGGATCATAGAGAGCTATTGTCTATCTTTCATTGTTAGAAATTAATGGATTTAACACTTTATTTTCCATTGGAAACTATTATAGGAACTTACTTTTCAGCCTGTGGCGCTTGAAGAGGCCTACAGATTATGTTCACTTGTATGTGTATTGCCAGTACATCTCTTCTGGTGGAATTATCTGAGTAAAATTCATTTCTGGCACCTTTCCAACAATATGACTGTTCTTTATTTACGCAATATATTGGTACATTACTGCACCAACAAGAGACTGTAGTTACAGGTCTGCATTGCTTTAGGGAGATTTTAGGTGAAGCACAGATGTCGGTGTTTTGCTATTTTTCTGAGCTAAATGGGCAAAGGATTCCAGGGATCTAACTGAGTTCTTTTTCTATTTCAATTAAATCCAATAAAAGGTTGCGGCAGTACATGGCCAGTTTGTTGAAGCACTTAGAGATCTCTTTGAGAGGCATAAAGAAAGGGTTGGTTATGCTGATCTTCAGTTGCAAATTCTTTGAGGAAAACCTTGTATCCATGCACTTCAGGGATAGAGATTGCTATCCCTGTGTTTGGTGTGCATTACTTTCAAGTGCGTTTGAAGAATCCAATATACGCTTAAGAAATTGAAAGATAGGGAGAAAGAGGCTCCATTCAAGGACGCAGGAGCCTCTCCAGACATCTCATCTCTGATCTTTGAATGCTCTCTTCCTTGGAAATGCGCAAAGAAAACCAGAAATCCCTGATAGGTTTACCAGAAGCATTAAAAATGCATGTAAGCTTTGTACTGGAACTGATGTGCAGAACATATTTTGAAGTTATCTAATCAATGAACTGGTGCCCAAAAGGGAAATACACACACGGACACGCATATACATATCAATGACCTGCTATTGTTCTTTCTGTCTGTTTGAATAATATGTACTGTATGCCTCGCTGTACTATATTCAGAGTTAAGAATGGTAGAAGATGACATGAGCTTTTTTTTTCTTTTTTTTCTTTTCCTTTTTAATGGGTTGACATGAAAGTGTCTTGGATATCTTCTTGTTGCCTTCAGAGGGTTGTACATTGATTGTATCTTGTGATTTGGATCCCGATTCTTATATATAGATTTAAGGTTCGTTATGCAGCCCTTTTACCATAAGTCAAGGACTCATGCCATTTGATGGTAAACTAACCGTGTACGTGTTGTACAATTAAGCCGGAAAATAGTAGTGTCTACTCCTCCATAGACATGGGCAACAAGAAAATCTTTCAGGGTATCCACAATTATGGAAACGAGGGGGTCATAAATTTTTGGACTAGTAAATGTTTCACAAAAAAAGGTAAACTTGAGTTGAGTTCCTCCCTTTGGACCTAAAATTCATCAAGATATTCTGCTTTGGTGGTTTTATCGCGTCCAGCTGCATGAGAGACTCGTTACTGCGGCTCACAGAGTAGATGAGCAGACTTCTTCATTAGTCCGTTCAGTCCAGCTGAGGACGATGAAGCATACAACATCTACGAAGATTACAAAAATCTTGTCATTTGAGGACCAAGACTTTCATAAATTCTCGAGTTAATTCAGACAAAAAGTTACCATACCATGGGTAACTCTCTGAACTTGTCAAATTTGTTCGATTCTGCTGCAACTGCAAAATGGACGAGTGCCTCGGCCGTAATCATCCAATGGCTGCGTTACTTACGGGACTCAAAACAGTCGCTGCATGCAGCATCCAGAATGATGGAAAGATGCGGGGTGATTGTGCTCTAATTTCCAGTCTCGCCCCTGTTTAGGCTCCGTACTCAATTCTTATATGTGTAGTAGTTTGGAGTTGCATCAATCAGCATACGTAAAAGTTGTATCGAGTACTTTCGTGGAGTTACCGTACAAGGTTCCCTTTTTTTTCCCTTTTTTTTTTTTGGCGAGAGGGGGGGGGGGGTGTTTTCTCCCCTTGTTCTTCTTCTTCTTCTTAAAGACTAGGGATAATTTCACAAACCTCCCTTGAGGTTTATGACAATTTCACTCGGCTCTCCTTAGATTTTATAAATTATACTGACCTCCCTTATCACAATAAAATGACTATATGACCTTCACTTAATAAATAATTCACAGTATAATGAAATGAGATTAAAAAAAAAAAAGAAATTTGACTTTTTTGACCATTCTATTTATACGTTACAACTAACGACGATTTTTCTCTTACTTATTATCACTCCGTTCTCATCTATCAACCCATTCCTCCTAGAATTCGCTTTCAAATTACCATCAATCATTGCCTCTAACTACAGCCAATTATACCACAAGTGATCCCTCAAACTTTACTATATTTTCCTATTCCTCCTTTCTTCTCTTTAGAATTGTCAAATCACAAGTTTAGTTAAAAGATTAGATTTGATGGTTGAAGTAAAATTCGATTTCATGATTAAACTAAAAAGAGATGAAGAGTCATAAAATAATAATGGAACAAATAATGCAATCATTGGCCAAAAGAGGAAGACGGACGAAAATTGGTAAATTTACTAATTTGTTTATCATCCATCCAAAATTTTTTAAAGATGTTAATAAGTACATTTATATTTTTTTAATACTTGACGATTGTTGGTTGTGGTTTCGCCATGGAGATAGAGTTTCTTCTCTGAATTTAAGATGTTAACATGTTTGGAGATTTGATAGTAGACTAGATTATTTCGTTTTGAGAAGGTGTGAGCATTGGATTTGAAATTTGGGCTGTGATTAGTTATAAATAGAGTTTTGGTTTTTGGCAAAATGAATTTCTTGAATATCCCTATAGTCATAATGATGCCTTCCTTCTCTTAAACTTGATTAATCTCATGCATGCCTAAATCTCTCCAAAGGATTTTCTTCAAGGCCATAATGTGGCTCATGCAGTAGAAGTTGAGCAACTTATATGGAGCGTGTCCTATGTTGCAAATTATGGAAATATAAGGGCAGTGATTGTGAATTTAACCATTCCCTGAAACGAATATTTAGAATTGAACACATGCTTTGGAAAAAGTAATTTTATGACTATGATGATAGAATTGCTTGAGTTTAAAATTTGAAATAAGACTATTTTTTAGGCTAGTTCGTTAGTATAGCAGGTTTGGTTGAAATATGGAAGAAAACAATTAGCAAAATATTTTTTGTTTTATTTTTTTACAAAAAAGGTAGTTTAGGATTTTTGAAAAAAAATGATAGTTTTTTGAGCTTATATTATTATATAAATAATAAAAGCAAAGGAGATAGTTGTAATTTAATAAATTTGAGGGGAGCTATCTGAAATTGTCAGAAACGCCATCAAAGGGGATGGGGATTGAGGGTCACGTACGAACGGTTAGGTGGGTGTAACCGCGCAACGCAATTAATGGTTCAATCATAATTCGTATTGAACCATATCCGTTTAGTTTAATTTGACTAATTTGACTAACGTCAGATTGACCTGTTAATGTTATAGTTCAATCCAGTCTGACCTATTATTACATACTTACACTGCAGCTTCTTCACCTTGCCTGCACGGAGGCTCGGATCCATCAAATGGTGTAGTATTATTTGACTTGAAAGATCAAATAGTTTTGGGATTCGCTTATGGATCCATCACAACATAAAATATGTGGTTATTATATATGCAAATACATGGACTACTAAAAAGAAAAAAGTTTTTTTTTTGGCCAATATTTCTACAAGGACGAATCAATTCTTAGGTGTATAAAAAATTGTATGCGATCAATGGTTCTGAAATCATGCGCCTGGCTACAACCCGCGAGGATGATAATAGAATCTGAAACTATCCCCAAATAGGAAAAGACGCAAGTTCTTTTTTTTTTTTTTTCTCTTATTTCCCTATAGGTGGATTATAAGCAGGTGACAGTAGTAATTTTGTGATAGACCAAAACTGAAAGCATAATTTTACTTTCTTGGCCTTGAAACCCAAACCAAGCAGCAGAGCAGACTCTCTGGGTAACCCCTCGCATTTACTATCGAGTGGCTCAACTACCTTCCTGTGCACCATTAATGGCGCACATGCTCGTGCTTGACGTTTGCGTCTTATACCCAATAGTGTTTATATATCTGAGTCTGAGGCAACATGCAAATGATAAATTTCTAGTTTTAGTCTTACCACAAGATATTTAATCATTTGCCGGGTATATGGAGAAGAAGGACGGTGGAGAATTGAGTCGCCGACGGCCAGCCCCGGGGACTGCGACTGAGCCAACTCATGCGGCGGAGTTCAGGGGGGCTCCGGGTTCCATACTTCACGCCGTTTTCGCCCTTATGCTTGTGCTTGGTTGCGCTCATCTTATCGGCCTCATCGTCTTGGCTTCCTTCATAATTCTTCCTCCCTCCAAAGCTTTGGTGTTCGTTTCCTTTTCTCTCTTCATTTTTTTATATATCCTCTAAATGTAGGAACATATGAACTCTCTCTCTCTTTTTTTTGCTTTCTCTCTCTCTCCAGGGTCATAGCGCTGCTGATTTTGTTTACGGTGCTTCCATCTTGCGAAGGAAGCAAATGGGGACGGAACTTATCAAGGTTGATTAAACTACTTATATATTCTCTCTTTTTGTTTGAGTTGTTAAAAAAGAATTTTTAACCATTTCACTTATTTTATGACTTGGTATATATGAGATAAAAAAAAAAGTGATTAAAAAGCACATTTAATTTAATACAGGTTCCAATTGGACATGAATTTTTCTGTATTATGTTGTGTACTACTTTTGTTATCCATATTGATACGAGATTTCATGTTTACGTGGTGACATCTTCAGGTATATATGTAAGCATGCTTGTGGTTACTTTCCAGTTAATCTGTATGTGGAGGACTATAAAGCCTTCGATCCTAAACAAGCTTACGGTAAACTTCTTATTAAATCTCCTAGTTAAATCTCCTAGTTGGATGCAAAATTATTTGGGTAGCTTTCGTGCTTGGAAATGATCGGCCAGTTACCGTGGCACCCTCTACCTTTCCTGTCTTCCTAGCATAAGATGATGAACTAGATCTTTTGCGTTTGCAGTTTTCGGGTACGAGCCACATTCACTTGTGCCAATTGGGGAAATTGCACTTTCCAACCTTACAGGATTCATGCCACTCCCAAAGACCAAAATCCTTGGAACTAGTGCTGTATGATCTATGCCCTTGTAGAATTTTGTATCTATGCTCTTTAAGATGACAAATTGACGGTTATGATGAGATCTGTAAAGCTTGACTTTTCCTGTTAATGCACTTTTCAGGTTTTTTATGCACCGTTCTTGCGACATATAGCCACATGGTTGGGAATTAAACCGGCAACCAAGAAAAATTTTCTTACCCTTCTGGAATCTGGCTATAGCTGCATCATAGTGCCAGGAGGAACTCAAGAAACGTACTATATGGAGCCTGGTTCAGAGGTTCAACTTTTTCACCTTTTTCCTTTTTCTTTTACTTAAAAAACATGATGGCTTACAATCACATTGTCAATATGTGTTTCTGATTTAGTGTGAGATGATAGAAGGCCAAATTCACCATTTCCCATGCTTATATACCGAGATTATTGTATCGGAAAGAACTGTGTTTGCATCCTTTTCCTCTTGTTTTCACGCCAATGACTTCGCTAACAGCTGATTAATTGCTGAAAATACTTGTAGAATGTCTTCCTCAAAAAAAGGAAAGGATTTGTACGGGTTGCTATGGAGACGGGCAAACCGCTGGTCCCGGTTTTTTGCTTTGGCCAGGTATTTATTCGTGGAAAATGAGCACATAGGATCGGGTAGCAAGAAAACTTGTTCTGTTCTTGTTTTCCCATTTTAAGGGAAAGTAGCAAGCAATCGTTTGAGGATGTTGAATTAATTTGTGTTCTACACTACAAACCTTGAATTTATGTTTTCATGGGCCATTTCTTGAGCAGTCAGAAGCGTACAAGTGGTGGAAGCCCAAGGGAAAATGGTTCTTGCAGTTCTCGAGAGCTATCAAGTTTATGCCAGTTATTTTCTGGGGCACACTTGGGTAAGTTAATTTCAACGAAATTGCAAGAGCAAAACGGTGCTCTAATGCATTATCAGCTTTTCCTTCTCAAGTTTTCATGTGTTAAAATGGTATCATAATGATGACGTCTATGTGTTTTCGCAACAACCCGGTTCAATAACAAGGTTATCAGCAACAGCATAGTTGCCAGGACTTCTGGATTTCTGGCTTCTTGTATCTGCTACAAAGTATCATTCAGCTTCTGCTGAAGAAAACTAAGCTTTCATTTTTTTGTTCTCCTTCTATGATACGGCTGGTTATGGAGTTGCTTGACCACCTCTTGCAGGTCTCCTATACCTTTTAGGCGTCCAATGCATGTTGTGGTTGGAAAACCTATTGTCCTCCAACAAAATCCACAACCCACCGTGAAAGAGGTATCCTTCTTAAACACCGTCTTAGCGAATCATATATCAATGTGTTTCTCCCATTGAATTCAACTGGTTTATGTCTACGGATAAGACTTTCCTCGTCATTGATTAGTGTAAGACTAGTATATTAATCATCTAATAATCCCTTGTACTTTGTAAATTCAATCGTCGTTCAAATTCAGAAAGGACGGTTAAATTATGCCTTGAGGATACCTTGTCATTGACATGCAAGGTAAACACTTGCCCAGGTGACTAGGTACCTCTCAAAATGCTTCTAGTATTTTGCCGAAGTTGCATTTGTTAAAAGGGAAAAATGGATTTAGTTTTCCAATCGATTCTAATTTCTTTCTGTAGGAAACTATTTGGCTGCCAACAGTCATTGGAAATAACTTTCAAATCTTTTTTCTATTTTCCTTTTTCTGCTTGTCAATTAAATTCGATGAAGGTTGATGAAGTGCATGGGCAATTTGTTGCTGCACTACAAGATCTCTTTGAAAGGCACAAGGAAAGGGTTGGTTATGCCGATCTTCAATTGCGAATTTTTTAGCTGATACTTTCTCTCATCGCAAGAATTGCAACAAATTCCAAGTATTGCCCGCAGAAGTGCAAGTTTGTGCCGAGCGTAGACGCAAGCGTTGCCTGCACAAGCAAAGAGGAACCTACCCGCCAGCTAGCACCATCCGGGCTGCTGATCTTAGGTTGCTGCTACAGTTTCAGTTTGCATTAGCTTGATTTTCGTTTCAAGTATGCGTTCTTAATTTTCAAGACTTGGACATAACAGTCTGTGAGAATTTGAAGAATCTCATTTTCATTCAGCAAAGTGAATTTTAAAGAATTAGCTTAGCTGTTAAATCGTAAAAATTGTGCCAAATGCACTTTTAAATCCAACACTCTACAGGGTCACGAGCAGTTGATGAAATATGTACAGGCTTTCGGTGCGGGAGTCAAATTTTTGCAGTGCTTCAAAGAAACATTTTGTGGCAGCCAAAAGCGAAAGAAAAAGACGACCTTTAGTTGAATCTCAGACACAGGATTGGCCACATATCTGAGACCCAATGGAGCTAACCACCGACTTTCTCAAATCTTCGCGTCTCACAAGAATAAGCCCATGTTGGTCTTGAACCTCTATTGAGATTCTCCATCTTAAATGACTTCATCATCATTACAAAACCTTGAAGCCATAGAAGTTATGGCAATATAACTACTATAGCCTACGGAAAAGTTTCATCCTGCTGCTGCTCTTGTATTCACGTTAATCCCCATAAGATTCAGGTCAACTGCGAGAGAAAATAAGTGGAAAAGAAATGAAAAATCTTGCTAGCTCATTCTGATAATTCTGCATGCCAGGTTAAAGGACATCAAAATCAACTCTGAACAGTCTTAGATACACACAACTTTGGAAATTGTATTTAATTATGACCCCAAGATTGCGTACCACTTCCAGCGCAAGAATTCCATGTCTACAGTGAATGACTTCTGCTGCATATTCTCTACCATTCAGCATGTAAACAGAAAGAGAGAGAGAGAGTTACTTTATTTCTAATCTTTGATGCCTAACTTAATGTTCTGAACTTTTACAGACAGTTGCAACTTTTGCTGCTCAATATCTTTCAGAACTGCAAATAAATTAGCCCGGTATGCTTCACATTTCCGTTGAGCACGCTTAAGCTGCCGTGTGAGTTTCTGTATTTTCTTGTCCTGCTCATCCTAAACCAAAAAGGCAAAATTTTGATGAAATTAGTCCCGAATTTAAAAAAAAGAAAAGAAAAGAAAAGAAAAGAGACAAGTTTCTCCACTTTTTCTCTTTCTCTCTGCTAATTCGCACATTAAATTATCAACCATGAGATTTTCTAACATGACTGGCACATAAACTATTGTATTTACTGCAGGCATTTAAAAAGGAAAAAAGAAAACGAAAAAGATTACACACGAATATTCTCCAATAAATGATCAGCCACACTAATTTACTGTTTCACCTTGTATGTGTACAAAAAGATTCTCATGAAAGAGCTTGGTATTTTAGAAGGCTGCATAGCAAACTGACCACTAATCAAATAAAAGGCTGTATTGTAGACCGACTCAAAGAGGCATGCAGGAAAGAAAAAAAAAAGTAAAGACTTTATGGAAAAGCTGTATTGTAGACCGACTCAAAGAGGCTGTATTGTGTCTTCTTAACGATTCATAACAACAGGAGCACCAATGTGCTGTATGGAAAAACTGCCAACAATCTGAAATGCTTCCTCAATGTAGGAGTCATTCCTCTATGGGAAATACAAGACATGCAAGAGAACACTAAATTAAATAAAATAATTAATAGCAAGAATAAGACATGCAACTGAAAACCTTTTCCATGAAAAGTTTCATCAGAATGAAAAGAATAAAAAAAACTCACCGAATCCAATGGAGGAACACCATCAATGTTTCTTTCATCATGCTCAAGTGTAGAATGATCCTGCTTGCGGGTTCTATTGGAAACTGAACTTGTTCTTGCCGTCTTTCTAGCCATGGAAACTTTATTTGCAGCCTCTCGCAAGGCATCCATTGCCGCATTATAAGTTTCCTCAGTCTGCATACCTTCATCCACATATTTGAAAACCTCATGACGAAGTTTACTATATCTGGCAGTAAGAGATTCTCGAGAGCCATTTGACAGAACATTGGTTGCGTCCTCCAACATTAGACTGCTTCTCGCACTTTTTGTCCATCTTCTTAAAACATAAAGTGGTGGAAGAGTCAGAACATTTGCAACCCTAAAGACTGTTAATATATGTCTGCAAAGTAGACCAGAGAACTCAAACATCTGACAGCTACAGGTTGCTTTCATTTCTCTGACACTATATCTGACGAAGTGAACTTTATGACTTTCCCCAAATTTGGCAACTTGATACGTGGTGGCTTCCTCCTGATCCTCAATTTTTGTAGCCAAGAAGGTAAGTGTTTCTACCAATTCTTCTTGAAACTTAATAAATAGTTTCCTAGTATAAATATCAGCTGCTTGTTTTTCCATTGGTGATGGCGTCTTTAGAATGGGTGCAGCGTTCATGGTATCATAATCCGCTTTAACCTCTTTCTCGTGGCGACTCTCCAGAGCCTTCTCATACTGTTTTATAAATAATTGAACTGTTGTTGAAGCATTTACATATCCGTCAAAGTAGGAGTTCATGCTGTCACTGCGCTGTGTAATAGACAGTTCAGCAAAAAAAGTATCCCTCAAGTACACAGGAACCCACTGCTTGCGATCAGCATAAACATTTTGAAGCCATTCATTTTCCCGAAGAGCATATCCATCAATAAGGTTACACCAACAAGATTCAAATTCTTCAAAAGAATCAGTAAAGTTGACACATTTATGAAGCTCTGCCTCAAAAGTTGGATGTTCAGAAAGCATGGGAGATAACTTTTCCTGACATTCCTTGAAAATGTGCCACTTGCAGAATCTGTGACGTACCTCAGGAAAAACTTGGGTGACAGCTGAACGAATCACTCGATCATGATGAGTCGTGATTGAGATAGGCAGCTTACCAGACATTGCAGCCAGCCAAGTTTTAAACAACCAAACAAATGATGCCTCAGACTCATTTACGAGAAGGGCACATCCAAACAAAACAGGCTGTCCATGATGATTCACCCCTGTAAATGGGGCAAAAGGCAACCTATACCTGTTGGACCTATAAGTTGAATCAAATGTAACAGTATCCCCAAAATAAGTATAATTACTCAGAGCCTTAGGATCAGCCCAAAAGATGTTGCTCATGCACTGATCCTCATCTCCCTGCACTGCATAAAAAAAAGCAGGATTCTCCAAGTGCTTCTGTTTAAAATAATCCAAGAGAACCTGAGTATCACCCCCAAGAGTCCTCTGTTTACTACTTCTCATATAATTCCTACAATCACGCTCTGTAAAGCCAACATTACTAATTCCTCCATACTCCTTTATCAAAGCTGACATTATCCCACTGGGGCCAATACCAGCCCCTTGCAAGGTATCGATCAATGACTTGGCAGCCCCAGAAACATGCCTGTGTGAACGTAGACAATGCACCTTATCAGGCGGAACAAGCTCATGGTTATGCCCTTTCACAAAACTAGACACGACCCAACTTCCCGAATCTTGAATCTTAACCACCAACATCGCCTTACACCCTACCCTAGTCTCAGCCCGAGGCCGCTTAGCCCTACCACCGTTACACCCAGACTTTTCCTTCTCTATACGAAACCCTTCTTTCGCACAAACAAACGACCTTTGTATAATAGCACCATCACGCCTAGACTTCCTGGACATACTTACACGAGTACTAAAACCAATCCTACGTGCATACGAATTATAAAACGCTTTTGCAGCTTCCTCAGACTCAAATTCCATTCCCTCATAGGGTTCAAGATTCGTATCTCCACCAAGAACACAAATTTCTCCAGAATTACCGCCATTGCCACTGAAATTCACCCCATCACTACTACTATGAAAAGGGTTCACAAAGTTTCTATCTTTATCCTCATCCTCATCCTCATCCTCATCCATTGGATGCGCAATATCAATGGTTTCTTCTCCCAAACCAATTCCGATACCCAGTCCCAACATGTCAAATTCAGTTACATCATTGCCCACTGTTAGTGGTTCAAAATCCATGGTTTTCTCGTAGCAAATAATTATTCTACAGGTACATAAATCAAACAAATAATTTTCATATTCTTCAAATAAAGCTGCATACATGGAACAGAAACGAAATTCAAGATGGCACGAAGGAGTAGTAGGGCATAGTGATTAGTGAGAGACTAACCGTCAATTTTGCTGTGAATGGGCAGTTGAGCTGAAATGACGTTCAAGATAATTTGGCGAACTTTGAGATGATTAGGGGTTCTGTGGAAAATGATAGCTTGTTCAGGGAAGTTTGAAGTTGCAGTTAGCGTTCAGAGGAAGAAGAGAGCTTTGTTTTGTTTTGTTTTTCCTTTTTTTCATCTTTTTTTTTTTGAGATAAAGTTTTCATTTTACTAAAAGAATTATAATGAGGACGAAAGAGAACCGTGGATCTCTTTCTTTGTGGAAAGGAGGGCCGTTAGATTTCAACACAATTCTTTTTTATTTTATTTTATTGAAGAAGAAGATTTCAACACAAAATTAGATGATCAAAAGAGAGATATTTGAAAATTATCTAGTTGTGTACAAAATTCTAATTAGATGATCAAAAGAGAGAGATTTGACATTTATCCGGTTGTGTACAAAATTGTTTTTATTTTTAATCTATGAAATACTAATCCAACAATTCTTTTTCTGTACCTCTTTTTTCTCCAACTTCTATTTACTTCTTTTCTTTTTCTCAAAAGGTCTTTCTCTATCCGATAGATTTTTTTTTAATTAAGTCTCTGCTAACGAGCTGCAGCGATTTATCTTATAAAAAAATAATTAAAAAATTTTTATATTTTCTATATTTATTCAAAAATTTTCAAATCAATTGTATCTGTTATATTAATTGCAGATATGTTATTTCTAATGCATATTTATGGGGCCATTAGGACATAGATGCAAATCAAGCTAGTGCATGTTTGGCATGTCATTATGTTATGATATGATAGTGATGTAAATCCAACTAGTGCATGTTTATCGTGTCATTATGGTAATGATGTAAATCCTATCATGATTCATTAATAAAATTTGCTCTTTATAAAAAAACAAATACTGATCCAAAATTAAAATGTGCATATAAATTATTTAACTTCTTCCGTTTTTAATTTGCTCTTACCACATTGTGGAATACTAATGATGAAATCAATTAGTTAATCCCAATCTGCTAGGCCTAATTTTAGCCCACAACAGGTTGAGATTCCAACTCATACCAGCCAATTAAGCATTCTTGTTAACCATAAGGTGTGACTGGCTTCAATTTTTCTTTTATCAATCTCATTGGTAAGCCATATGTGGATTTCTCCTGTTAGCTTTGGAGTGAATCAACGTCCCCTTGCCAGAAGAAGCAAAAGAAAAAAGGGAAAAGAAGTCCAATATCCATGTCAAACATTAAAATTGGGATAGATCTGATACAGAGAGCGGACAAAGCCATCCACAATGAGCTTGTGCAACAAACGAATTTGATATTTTGATAGTATTTGTTAATTTGGTTCGGTCTTATATTAGCTCATGCAGCCAATTCTAGTCGACTACATCTTGCAATATCATTGGCAACTGCAAAATCAAGAAACTAGGCTACGAGCCACATGAAAAAGGTTGACCAAAGTGTTAGAGTAACTGAAGAAACGGAGTATGTCCAGAGCAAAATTACAGCACATTCTGACTGCCCTGATCCAAATAATTGTGTAATTGTGCCTGCCAAGTGAGAAATATGAGCTGTACATTGGTGAATTTGTTAGAAGGGCTTTACACCTTTTTTTTTTTTTTTTTTGGGCCCTATCTGAGAAGTATTTATCACCACTCCAATTTCAATTTGCAAGCCACAAAACCTAGAGACTAGTGCACATGATTTGTTTTGATCTTTTCTTTTGGTTGTGGGCGGGGTGGAGAAAAATGAAGGTACCTATATTGATAGCGGGGGGAAGAGCATAGTGTAGTAGAAGAACAAACTGATACAATGGATCTGCATGCACGAAGCCCAGATGAATTGCCCCTTTAATAACCAAAACTCCGATCAGAGGCAGGACAACAGATCGAACAGCAATGATCCCAAGAACGAGGGAAAGCTGGACGCCTGGTCCTCTTAGACCTAAAAGGTGAAATTTGCAATGTTGGATTGAATTGGCATTTGTAACATAGGTAAAGTCGAGTCATAAATAGCTCCAAGACAGTAAAAAGAAAAAGGATTCAACGTATGGTACTGGTACCTTTAAGGAGGTTTCCCCCCACTGTCAGCATGATGATGGGAACTGCTGCTTCTCTGCAATTGAATTTTAGGATTGATAAAGGAAAATGAGAAATTATAGGGTAAGACAACCTGAATGAATCACTGGTAAAATTAACTAGAGACAGAAAAGTTCAGAGTATCAGATACTGTCCCACATATGATGTGCTCAATCAGCCTAGGAATCTTGGTCGGATAATACCTATTATCACGACAAAGTTCCTTAGACAATTCAAGCAGGTTTGCATCTTTTCTTCTTCTGTACTAACCGTTTGGTGATGAAATTTCAGAATTATGAAAGGGTTTTGGAATAAGAATTCCAAAGTAAACAGCCTTAGAAGGTTACCAATCAAGGATTTTTACCCCAGCAATAAAGCAGAATCCTGGATTACATGAAGTGGAGCGTTGGCGCCAATGAGTAACTTCTGTACTGGGGGCACTAAGCCGATGATGAAGCCAACAATCTGCAGGGATCAATAACTAAATGAGAGAGTACTTTAGTAGTGATGTCCTGGTAAATTGATTTTGCAGTCGTCGTGTTTCCAATTCCAACCATAACATGCATGACTGATACGGTTCACCAGACTTTATACTACTGCCTTATTGGTCAACAACGAACATACATGAAGTCTTTAACAGGAAGGAAATTTTCTTATGGCCTTGCTTTAAAGGTTTAAGTTCTTGAAAGAGTGGATTTCTTTAAAGATGTGCTTGACTTCCTACTGGCTAACAGTCTTTCAGGTTGATACTGATAGAAATGCTAACCCCTTTGGGGCATGGTAGTTCCGTCTGGAACAATTTCTGGTCATCATTTTGCAGCTCCATTCTCTTGTAAAAACTTTGATTAAAAAAAATTCTCTTGTAAAAATGACACACACACACGACAGGATTACAAAACACATTATTCTGCACTTGACGCTGCTACTCCTTAGGACTATCAAGTTATATATATGCGTTAATTTGCCATTGATTCAACAAAGAATTGCCAGGCCCTTGAAAAGTGTACCGCTGCAGTCGTTGAAGGTGCAATAATGGCCTTCAGATTACTGCTTCTGAAAAACGAATATAATTGCTTCTTAATTGTGTCCAGGATCAAAACCTGCAACGGAATCTTGAAAGGCATCAAATTACAAGGTTCTTATTTCTTATGGAATCACAAAAACGCATATCTAAGAATATAATCCACGATGAAATGCCACAGATTGGGTGACCTTTCCTTGCTTGTCATTTTTAGCGCATGGTAGCGAAGATTCATTTGCATGGTCCGTAGCAGATGAGCATTCTGAGTCAAACTCACAGTCTATCTGCTCTTGAAGGGCCTTTGAGGTTTCTTCATCAAAATTTGCATTGTTCACATTTATAACTTCATTGATCATAGTTGATGATACGCGAACAGTGTTGTAAACAATAGACCACAGATAAATGGCTCCTATCTGAGACATAATCACAGAAAACGATACAACCATGAATTTGTTTTATTGACAATGCCACCAACTAATTAATGAAGTCGAGACTCATCAGGCTCTCTAAATTAAGTAAAGCAGGAGATAGATTATTCTAACCAAAATGTATCTACTGATCATTTCATTTTGGGCAAATTACATTTTACCCCCTATAGTTTACTATTTTTTGTATATAGCCCTCCTATGGTTTCAAAAGCTATACATAACTCCCTCATCGTTTGGATTAAAGTGTCAAAGTGACGGAAATGATCATTCGTAACGGAACTTTTAAAAATATCGAAATTACTCTTGTTTAAAAATTAAAATGACTGAAATGACCAAAATATATAAACATGATATACATGACGCATTAATCCCGGATAGTTTTATACTTTACCATAAAATCCCCTTATGGTTTAACACTTTACTGCATACCCTCCTTATAGTTTTCAAAATATACATGTGATCCCATGCGGTTAGTAAATAATTTTTAATTTTATATAGGGATATTTTTGATATTTTAGGCGACTTCATTATGGATTGCAAATTCCGTTACTTTTACACTTTAATTCAAGGGTTAATCACATTTTATCCCCTTAAAAAATACCCCATTTCTCAGTTTACCCCCTAATCTTTAATTTTGATCACTTAACCCCCTTTAGAACAAAATTGCCCTTGCATTATTTTGACTTTTCATTTACCTTATTTTCCTTTCTTTTATTTCCTTTTCTCTTTCTTCTTTATTTAATTCTTCCTCTTTCCCCAAAAATCTTCATCTTAATGATTGAAATTAAAAAAGAGGAGTTGCAGAGATATATCTTCTCCTTAAATGATTAAAAAAATATTCAAATCACTTCCCTAAAATACAATTTTTTTAGCCTTTCAATTCTTTTAATTTTGGATTTTCCTCTTTCCTCTTTCCTTTCAATACTTTTACACTTTTCATAACCTCCTCATGGTATTTTTATTCCCATTTTCATCTTATGTATAGCTTTTGAAACCATAGGAGAGTTATGTATAAAAAAATACTAAACCATAGGGGGATAAAGTGTAATTTACCCTTTTCAATTTTGTACTTGTTTAAAGTAACAAAGGCAGGCCAAAATCTGGGCTACGTACCGCCATAGAAAGAGAAACATAAGCCATCGCATACTTATGGCAGCTCTCTGGTGCTCCAAATGGACTGCCCTTTTCACGGCATATTGCTGGGACGAGAACAAAAGGCAGACTCCCCAAGTTTCCTAGCCATAATACAAACCTCTTAGCTTTTTTTTTTTTTGGCAGTATCAAAATAAGTAGTTTCATATAGGCATAATCTTATTTCTTTATTAACTACCTGTTTTGCAAGTAGATTCCAACTCATCTATGACTTCTCTCTAGCTAGTACCTTGTTGATTTTAAACCACATTTTCTGCTTTCAAAATTGAATTTATATTTTCTTTTTACGGGATATGCCGAACCATCTGGGAAGCAATGAGGTATGAGGAACTACTGAATTTCACTATCTTCTTTGCTTACAATTTGCTCTCTATGGTTTATGCCAAGACTCTTCACCTGCATGCTTTTGTCAAGTCTAGCAGGTCTTTTTAATTGTACCTGGCAGATGTGCAGGAACCCAGAAAACACTAACCTGCTGCACATAAACCCATTACAAGGCCTTTCAAATGTTGAGGAGATTTAGTGATTTTGTTAATTTCCCATCCAAGAAATGAGCCAACAATGTAAGTCAGCAAGATGTTCAGCGGCATGAACCACCTAAATATATGTATCTAATGTTAAAATCTAGACTAAGTTGAAAGGCACTGAATATCAGAATTAAACAAAACAAAATTTCCTTTAAACTCCATCATATATTACCATCAAAGAGCAAAATCTAACTTAATGCTGAAATGAGTGATCCGAATTGTACTCACAACGATATGATGTTCTCCGAGGTAATTGTTTGAGCCAGATTGCTAGAGACAAGCGCTGGGTTGAATACAAAAAACACCATCTATTTATTTTTACAATATGGGAATTGTGTTAAATTGGAAAATGATACTGATCTAATATTCAAGAAGGAAGAAGGAAGTAAAGGTTGAGGTTTACATTATTCAGCTCCTTCCTGGCACTGTCTCCCAAGATGTCTATATGATCCAAAGCAAGAAATGAGCCAAGTGCACAAATCAAGAGCACCTTCACAACAGGTATGGAAGCAACCAAGGATAAATCTAGCAGCCCCATTATGAAAGCTGCTAGAAAACTTCAAACTCCTTGAGCAAAAGAGTACACAGGGGAAAAATAGGAAATAGCATCTATTTAATTCCTCGACAGAATTTCTTCAGTCCTATTAATTGTTTTCCAAGAAATTAAATGCTGCTTTGCCTGCAGGATAAGTAAATCCCCTATTTCGTACTGTAAAATCAAGATATCCATAAATTTTGGTGGGCATTAACGGCTGCTTGACATGTTGAACTAAATCTCACACAATCTAAAGCATCACAATTAACGTTAGCTAGCTAAAAACTTCAGCTTATCAATATCGTTACGGAAGAATCCTGATAATGCACCATGATCTACCTTTTCCTCAAATTGAAGATATCATTTGGTAGATGATCATTAGTTTGTGCTAAAAGTTGACTGCATGCCAGCAGCCTAGAATAAAGAAAACAGGTAGACAAAAAATAGTGGCATAAGCAAATTTGTAGCCAACTGGGCTTGTTGCTTGCTGCAAACGTTACACAAGCAACAGAGAGATATCCGATACTTATGGAAAGCCAGATACAATTGTTCATCCCTTCTCTAACTTGAAGTGGAGCACTGTAAAGATTAACTTATTATAATAACTTGAAGCAATCCGACGTATCAAAAACTCATGAACAGAGTTCTGTAATACTGTAAAGTTAAAAAAAAAAGGCAGATTTTTGAAAGAAGAACAAGAGAAAGCAACTTATCTAGCTGCTCAAGTTGTTCCTATTTGGCTTGTTTATTTTCTGTAAGATTTGATTAGTCACTGAAATTTTGCTCCCAACAGATGTTTACGGCAAAAACACCAGAACCAATATATAGATATATAAACCAAGAATCTATTCCCAAAGAAAAGAAAAGCTTAGATAGCATTAGCAAGGTAACAAGTACGGAATATGGATTACCAGCATGCAACAGCATCCAAATGGGAATGAGCATGACATTGCTGCTGATACAGCGGCCACGCATCCAAATTGGAACCGAGCAACTCGTTTATTGGGCGTCAGTGCTTAAAACTTTTGGAGTGCTCAATTGTTCAACCTCCAAAACGGCGATATTTAGGGTTTCCTTTTTGAACGCTGAATTCGAAAAGTAGGATAATTAAAAGGGAAAGAGAGTGCAAAAGCCACAAGGTTTTCAGGTACATCCGCACAGCTACTTAGTTGGACAGTTGGGCTATTTTGATCTTTGTATCAATGGAAAAGAACCCTCTTCATGACACCTTCTGCTGTTGGAGGAAAATTTTGAAATTGGAAGCTATTTCACAATGTTGAATCGACAGTGAGCTTATGCAATGATAGCTGGTACTATTTTATATTGTTCGCTCTTACATTAGCTGAAGCAACGAGAACAACATGAATACATGTTGCAAAACTGGCAGCTGCTACGGCAAAATCAAGATTTGGCTACTAGCCACATGAAATAGGTTGACCAAAGTGTTAGAGAAACTGATGCAACTGAGTATGTCCACAGCAGAATTACAGAACATTCAGACTGGCCTGACCCAAATAATTGTGTAATTGTACCTGCCGAATGAGAAAATTGATATCCCCATTTACATGGATGAATCTGTTAGAAGGGCTTTCCAAATTTTTCCTGTCTGAGAATACAAACTAGCAAATGTACATAAGAAATGTCGAATAGTTGAACAGGATATAGTGTGTAGAATAGATATGGTCGTGCAAGGAACTGAAAAGCTCGAGAAGTTGGACTGCAGCAGGGTAATGTTGTCAGTAATGAAAACTTTACTTCCAGTGACAAAAATGTCAAAAGTATTTATCACCATTTGAAATTCAATGTTCAAAAAAACAGAGACTTAAAAGCACGTAATTGCTGGGGTAGAGAAAAGGAATGTACCTATATTCATGGCAGGGGGAAGAGCATACTGTAGTAGTAGAACAAACTGATATAAGGGATCTGCATGCACGAAGCCGAGATGAATTGCCCCTCTAATAACCAAGACTCCAATCAGAGGCAGGAAAACATATCGAATAGCAATGATCCCGAGAATGACAGTAAGCTGGACTCCTGATCCTCTTAGACCTAAAAGGTAAAATATGCAAGTTGGATTAAAAGGTACTCATAACACAGGTAAACTCCAATAGCTCCAAAACATAAACAAAAAACAGAAGGATTTGACATTTGTTGTAATGGTACCTCTAAGGAGGTTTGCCCCAACTATCAGTGTGACTATGGGGATTGCTGCTTCCCTGCAATTGAATTAAAAGTCGACAAGGGAAAATGAGAAATTATAGCTCCAAGATAACCTGAATGAGTTACTACTAACATACATTAGAAGTGGAGAATTTCAAAATATTAGATACTGTTCCATGTGTGATGCCAAAGCAGTTCAGCAAACTTGTTTAGGTAAATATCGAGTATGAGGACCAAGTACCCTTGATAATACAAGCAATTTAGATTTTTTTTTTTTTTGGTTTCTGTACAGGCCACAGTGATGAAATTTCAGAATCATGAAAGAGTTGTAGAATAATTTGTGAAGATATTCCAATGTAAACTGCAAGAAAGTTTTCGGATGCGGGAGTTTTACCCAAGTAATAAAGCAGAATCCTGGACTACATGAAGCGGAGCGCTAGCACCAATCATCAACCTTTGTATGGGGGGCACTAATCCGACGATGAAGCCAACAATCTGCACTGATCAATAACTAAATGAGAAAATAATTCAGAACTAATAACCTGGTAATTCCTTGCCTTAGAAGGTTTATATTCTTGAAAGAGTGGTTTTCTTTCAAAATGTACTCAATTTCCTAATAAAGGATGGTTTTTGATGTGTGGCAGGCTACCGTCTAAGAGTCTTTGGGTTCATATGATAGAAACGCTAACCCCTTTGCGGCATTATATTTCTATCTGAAATAATTTCTGCTGATGTTTTTTCCCCTCTCTTCTCTAGTAAAAATATACCCAGGATTAGGATGACCCAATGTTTCATTTGAATCTGATGCTATTACTGAGGATTACAAACTATCTACTAGAATTTGATTCGATTCAATAAAGAATTGCCAGACACTTAAAGGTATACCGCTGCAGTCGTTGAAGGTGCAAGTATGGCCGTCAGATTAATGTTTCTGAAAAATGAATATATTTGCTTCTTAATTTTGCCCATGATGAAAACCTGCAATGAATTCTTGAAAGTCATCAAATTGAAAGGGCCCTATAAAAATGACAAAAACACATATCTAATATTCTAATCCACACAAAAATGCCATGGATTGGCTGACCTTTCCTTGCTCATCAGTTTTAGCACATGATAGCAAAGATACATTTGCATCGTCCATAGCAGATGTGCCTTCTAAATCAAGCTCATCAATTAACTGCTCTTGAAGGGATTTTGAGGTTTCTTCATCAGAACTTTTATTCTTCACATTTATAACTTCATAGCTCTTAGTTGATGATACACGAACAATGTTATAAACAATAGACCACAGATAAATGGCTCCTATCTGAGACATGATAACAAGAAATCATAAGTCGTGACATAAAAAATGGTCAACGAAATCTACTAACAAATGAAGTCACAAGACTCATCAGCTCTCTAAAATAAGTCAAAAAGGAGATGCATTATTTTGACCAAAATATTGGCACTGATCTTTTCGTTTGTCATCTTCGTTTACAGTAATAAAGGCAGAACAAGAAATATGATACATACCGCCATAGAAAGAGAAACATAAGCCATCCCATACATATGGCAGCTATCTGGTGCTCCAAATGGACTACCCTTTTCACGGCATATAGCTGGGACAAGAATCAAAGGCAAATTCCCCAAGTTTCCTAGTCATAATACAAATCCTGTTATCGCCTGATTTGTGGGTATTTTCCCAAAAGCGTGTTATGGCACTGCAACTATCTTTCTTGTAAAAGGAATGCAACAGGTAATCTATCCATTGCTAATAAAAGTGGCCAGTTGTCATACATTCCAATCTCACTAAATCCATAACTAACAGAAATTTTAAACAAGATACATTCCTCATTTTGCAGACAAACTGCAATTCATATATGATTTCTCTCTGGCACCTTTCTCCTTTTAAACAGTGTCGCTGTTTTGAGGGGGGAAAATGATGTTTTAGGGACGATATTTGATAGACAAAAAGTGCCACTTCACCCTCCCAATACACTTCACCTGCACGCTTTAGTTAAACCTATCAGGCCTTCTTAATTGTATCTAAGCAGATGTACAGGAAGTCATCAAGTTGCAGAAATGAGAAAACACTTAGCACTAACCTGCTGCGCATGAACCTATTACGAGGCCTTTCAGATGCTGAGGAGCTTTAGTTATTTTGCCAAGTACCCATCCAAAAAATAAGCCAAGAATAAAAGTCAGCAAGATGTTGACCGGCATGAACCACCTAAATACATCCATCTAAAGTTAAATCTAGCCTAAAGCTGAAAGGCTCTGAAAATCAGCACTAAACAAAACAAATCTCCTTTAAACCACATCACATTACGTTCAAAGAGCAAAATTAATTAAATTATGTTGAAATAAGTGATTTCAGAAGTACTCACAATGATACGATGTTCTCCAAGGTAATTGTTTGAGCCAGGTTGCTGGAGACAAGTGCTGGATTGAATACGAAAAATACAACCTGGTTACACAAATTAAACAACTCCGTTAAATTGGAAAAAGTTACTGATGATTGTTCAAGAAGAATGATAAAGCTAAAGTTGATGCTTACATTATTTATCTGCTTCCTTGCACTCTCTCCCAAGATGTCTATATGATCTAAAGCAAGAAAAGAGCCGAGTCCGCAAATTAAGAGTACTTTCATAACCGGCACAGAAGCAACCATGTATAAATCTAGCAACCCCATTATGATATACGGAAGCTGCTAGAAAACTTCAAGTACTCCAAACTCCTACAGGAAAACAAAACAAAAAGGAGAAAGAGGAATTATTTCTAGTTAATTCCTCTACAAACTTCCTTCCTCAGCAGAACTCATTACGACTAAATAGTATATTATAGGACAATATATAGACGCTCCTTGGCCTGCTGGATAAGTAAATCCCATGTTTCCTCCATCAAAGTCAAGACATCCATAACCTTTTGTAGGCATGATACAGGTAATGGCTGCTTGACAAGTTGGACCAAATCTCACATAATTTAAACCATCATAATGGTGCTTAAATCTCTAGCTTAATAAGTTCCCCCTAATAATGTTCCATGGTCTAACTTTTGCACAAAATACGGATATCCTTAGTTTGTGTTGGAAAGTGAGTGCATTCCAGCAGCCAAATAATAATCAAGTATGTAAGAGAATTTGACACAAGCAAATTCAATTTCAACTTGGCTTGTTGGCGTCTGAAAACAATAAATAAGGAAAAAAAAACAGATACGTAAAGACACATGACACTTCCATTTGTCCCTTCTCCAACTTGGAGAACTACTTTTATAATTAACTTAATAAATAGAGTAGCGTCAAGCAATCCGATATATCAAACACTGATAAAACAGAGTACTATAATACTACTAAAACAAGTATAAACGTCAGAGTTCTGAAAAAAGAGCAAGAAAATGCATTTTACCCAGCTGCCGAATAGTTCCTCTGTGGCTTGTTTATTTTGTGTAAGACTTGACTAGAACTCAAAGTTCTGCTACCAAGACTGATTTCAACAGAAACCGGGAAACCAAAATGCACTTGTTGGGATTAAGTAGCATGCAAGAAAAGGAAAAGGGATTCAGTAGCGTTAAAGGGAACCCCAAAAAAAGAAAACAGTGATTAAGTAGCATCAGTAAGGCAACATGTTTGGATTAGCAGCATCCAAAGGGGAAAAAAATTGCATGGGGCATATTCGCCTTTTCCACGGAATGGAGACAACTCGTTTGTCACTTTATTTGATGGACTGCTTGATTCTTTAACGGCCACAAGTAGGAGAGAGTGTGGTGTACCAACGCTAAATTCGAATATATAGAATAGTCCAAAATGGGGGGACTGGCGAAAGCTACAATTACGAGCTTTTCTGGTGGTATGGCCATACAGTTACGTCGCTGAGCAATTGGGTTTTGTGGGCAATCCAAAGAAAAGAACCCACCAGCCCCATCCCCATTTCGTCTCATTCATGTTTATTCATAGCTCACATTGTGGGGTATCTTGAATAGTTTTTGCCCATACTCGGCCATGGACTATGGAGGCCCCCCAGCCTGAAATTTTCGGTTTTGCGTGTCTATGCCGTGCCGCTTGTTGATCCAATTTCTTTGCCATCCAAACCCATTTAAAGTGCAATTGCCATACATCCATCTCAATAGGTTGGATTGCCATAAGCTAATATTTCGTCTATCCCAAGTAATATGTTCCAGCCATCCGGAGTGTACCAGGATATCGATTTATGACAGGGGTACAATTATTGCATATTTCACGCGGCAATAATGTTTTAATCGAGGAACATTTGTTTGTGCCAAAGGGAAAAAAAAAAAAAAAACTGAGGCATCCTTCTCCATTTTTTTTATAATTATATCTCTAAAGCGAAGTCTACTACAAGTAGTCTGATTTTTTCCTTTCAAATTAATCTTTTATACATTAATAGTGTAAATATTATTACAATTGAATGTATGATATATAGATATATGTACATATATATATAAAATTTAGATTTCAAATTCAAATAGTAATAATGTCCAATAATAGATTTTTAGTGTAAGGATAAAAACTTCCCAGGCTACATGTACATTTTAGGCATGCTTCTTAATGTTTAAATGCACTATTATTTTGTTTCTTGAACTTTATTAACTTTTCTTTTTTTTTTTTTTTTTTTTTTTTTTTTTTTTTTTTTTTTTTTTTGGTTGTTTGGCTATTAGCCATTAGGTGATATCTATATCTATATGTATTAGATGGCAGGGTTTTTACGAGAAGCCTTCATAAGCGTCAGAAATTTGAATCCTTTTTAAATATAATTTTAGATTTATTTCAATTTTATAATTCTTATCATTTCTCCTTATCCATTCCCACTTCTCAATTTACGTAATCCACTAATCCCACAAAATCAATACTTTAAAATTTTAGCTAACACATAATAATCACCTATGTGCAAATCACAAATCACATCTACACTTACCACATGACTAATAGTAATAATAATTAACTGATGATTTAAGAAACTCACTATACAACAATCACATATCCAAAATTTAGGAGCCCGATTGAATTACAATTCGCACAATTTTACGTATCTTATTATCATAACGTATTTTACACTCATAATTATTCACAAAATTGACGATCATTAACTCAATGTCATTTGTCATCAGTAAAAATCAAATACAGTGAAAAAAAAGACTATGTATCATACTCTCGTTACAGACGAATCCCATCTTGAAACATTTCGATCAGCGATGGAGTCAAAATTTTTTGCTTGGAAGCCAAAATTTTTTCTAACAAAATTATCTTAATATGTTATGTTTAAAATAATTTTCATCTATTTAAATATATGACATCTAAAAATTTCAAATATTAACTTTAATTCCAAAGGTATGTAAAAAATAAATAACCTTTGTTTGGAGAAAAAAATTAGTTCAAAGATGAAATTCTCATAATATAAATTAAAATTGTAAAAAATTAAGGGAGAAGGTGTCAACTTTGTTTTATACATATATTTATACACTATGAATTAAAATTTTCAAAATTTAGGGGGCTATGACCACCATCATACCCCCAGCTCCGTCATTGATTTCAGTAGTGCCTCAATTCCAAATTTGCAATATTGCAAAGGAGAAAACAACTTATCACAAAACAAAGTCTACATCCAAGTAATTTCACTGAAATATTTCAAGAGGTTCGACAAATTCGCTTCCAAGAAATACAAGTCTCACCGAACATTCTTTTATAGTAGGAACTTCACATAATTCAATAGAGTCAATTAAACCACCAATTTGAACTTTCGTACAAGATTATCAAATCGAATGCATAATATTTATAAGTATTTTATTTTGAAATAAAATAAAACATGTGATTACATTCATTTCTATCCATATATCATTCATTTTCTATATAAATTTCTATTATTACTTCAAGATTCATCTTTCGTAAAAACGTAATTCTTGAAAGATGTACACATTTTATCATACTTTAAACTATTGCTAGACAAATCTTAAATTTTAACTATATTGGTACAATTTTTTTTACTTTTTGTTAATTCACCTTCTCTTTTAATTTCTTTCAAAAATATCAGCAACGTGCACTAGTTTCTACTGTATTTACAAGCGAATTTTAATCTGTCACATGATGCATTGCATATTTTTTAAATTCATTGGCAATGTTAAGACAGGTTTCCTTCTGCATTGATGTGGAATTTAAACAGCTATTGTGTCAAGGAAAAGATACATGCGTTGTTAGAATGGACAACTGAGAACTCAAAACCTTAAAAATAGCAGTTCAATTGGTTTTTTTTTTTTTTTTTTGGGTTAAAGTATCAATTTTCACCCAAATTAATGTAAACAGAGATAGTCTTTTCTCGTTTTTCTGCAATAGAAGATGTCTGAATTAACAACATAACAATATTCAATGATTATTGCAATAAAAATTTGAATTTATAAGATATTTTGTATATGCATAGATACATCTGTATGCTGTTTCGTTTGTACATATCAAGACTTTCAACTTCAGAATCTTAGCAATCCAAAAGGATTTACCCATAAAAAAAAACGAAAAAAAAAACCCTCTTGCATAAGTTGGATGAGTTTCCACAAACGTAGTATGAATCTTGCTTCCATTTTGTTTGGAATAATTTGCATGGCACGTACACAAAAAATGAAGATTAGGAACTTCAAGACACAGACCACAAGTAGTATGTTGACCAGAGAGTAAGAGCCAGTGCTGCCACTGCATAATTCCACAGCATAATAACCGAACAGTCCCTTTCCCCAACTTCAAATAACTGCGTTATGGTACCTACAAACAATTAACATTAATGGAAGATTAGGCCACGTCTGGTAGAGTAGTTCAATATCTTGAAAGTTTCATTTCCTTGCAAAAATTCACCTAATATCTGCCGCATAAGAAGTATACTAGTTTAGAGTAGTAATATAAAATTTAGAGATTCTCACTGAACAATACCCATGCTCATTGCAGTTGGTAGTGCATATTGCAGCAGAAGAACAAACTGATATAATGAATCTGATCCCACCAGTCCAAAATGAACTGCAGCTTTAACAACAAGAATGCCCAAGAGAGGCATTGCGATATAACGGACCACTTGGACCCCTATTATGATCCCCAACCCGACTTCAGATCTTTGAAGACCTGTCACAGAATTATAAAGTAAACCATGGTTAGAAAAAGAAAAATGATATCAGCACTCCTTAAAAGTCCTCTAGCGTTCCATCCTCCTCCCTTTATACTATAAAGGGAGGATGGAGTGACAAAAGGTTTTCTAAGAAGTGCCTATAACATCTCCCTAGAAAAAGTGTAACCTTGAATCCAAAAGGAAAGATTGAAAATAGCAGGACAGATGTTTAAAGGATTTTAAGATTACCCTTGAGGAGATTTGCTCCGACTATCAATGTCATGGCCGGTATTGATGCATCTCTGTTGCAGTAATCACATAGCACTGAGAAAATAATCGAGAAAAAAACATCCATATACACATAGCCTTGTAGTCTTGGTTTAGGAGGAAAGTTGTGTAAAATAAAAAACAGCATGTGATTCAATCGCATTAATGAAGTTCGTTTGTTAATGCTACTATGGTCATCAGAATTCAAATTCCTGTGAAAATAGTTTGAAATGTTTGGTTAGTGATTGAAAAAAGGAAAAAGAAAAACTGAATTTACGATTTACACGCTGGCCATGACACACTTTTTTTTTTTTTTTTTTTTTGGGGGGGGGGGGGGTTGAAAGCAACCAAGACAGCTTTTCAGTTAAGCTATCTCGAATTTGAGATATATAAATGGGATTGGTCATGCTTGGTTACAATCAATGGTGTTAAACCCGGACCGGAGAGGAGATCGAGTACACAAGAAGAGGTTTACTGGTTCGATTTCGGTTCAAAAGTTTAATCAGTTTTATTTATATTAGCATTAAAAATTTTGAATAATGTTGAAATATTCTCTAAAAAAATTAAAAAAAAAAAATTAGTGAACTCTAGTTGAACTTTCCGATTTGTACTAGTCTAACTGGTTCTTGATCGGATTGGACCGATTCAATTAAAATTTTCAATTAACTATTGAACTGAATTGAAGACACGACTGGTTTGCAGTTTAATTGGTCAAATCGATCGATTCGATCCAATTTTCAAAACATTGGTTTGCAACATGATAATCTACTTGCACGGTAAGAATTAACAAAGATTACGCAATCATTT